AGTTAGAGTACTGTACTTAAACCTGTAACGTGATTTCAACTTGACTGGAAGTGCTGAGTAACAACAACTATTATACATAACAAAGTATAAGTATATAGTTGTATATACTATAAGTATATCATAATATATATATATATATTTTTTTTAAGTAAGCATTCGATAAAAATTAATGAATAAAATTATGAAAATCATGTTTCTTTATGATTTTAAACCTTTAAAATATATTATAAATATACTAAAACTTACTTTTATAGTAAAGAATTTAACTTAAAACAAGTACAAAACACTTAAGGATTTTTTAAACTTATATAATATATTTAAAAATAAAAAAAATTTTTATAATCTTACTAAATTATATCTTCTATATTCATTTTCTTAGTAGATTTATTAGCAACAAGCATAACAGAATTCATAGACTTAACAGAATTCAGTGTCCTACTAAACAAAATGCCCTACACATGACTACACCCAAAACAACTATTCAATTTTGTAATTAACTGAACTTACTCACTATTCAATACTTTAACTTGATAAAAAAAAAAAAGAAAAAGAATTTTAAAATTTTAATCTAAAAAATCCAGTTAAATAAGAAATAATAGCACAAGTATATTACAAAATTTAGTAACCTCTTTATTTGAACTTCCTAAATTACAAAATGTTAATCATTTCTTCCTGTTTAGTTTAATCTTTCTAAAAATATACAAAAAAAATTGTGTTTTCTCTATGGCTATTTTGTAATTTTTAAATTGCAAGAGAAAGTATAACTTAGTAATATATCAATCTAAAAACATTAAGGATAAATAGATTTTTTGGAAGAATAAGGTAAGAAAAAGGACACAAAAATCACAAAAATCTTTAATTTAAAAAGAGAATATATATATATATTGTCTTTTCTTTGTTATTTGCATCTCTTCTTAGAATATAGTATCAAAAGAATAGCAATTATAGGAAATAAGTCAACCAAGTATAGAGTTAAATGTATTTATATGATAGACCTTGGGCTACTGAATTGGAAAATGCTTTCTTGTTAAATCTTGAATTATTATAAGACTGTATAAAGATCTGTTCATGACCCACAAATTTGTATCCTTTAAGAACAAATAACTTGATTGGGAAAATATATATATATATATATTATAAGGTAAATTGAGGTAAAGGTTCTTGAATATTAAACAAGAGAAATTTTTGTATTAATTTTAAATAAAATGATAATGCAAATATGATAATGATGAGGAGAAATTAAATATATATTTTCATTTTTAATTATTAACAATCGTGACTATACAGAATTACTTTCCTGGCAATAAATCGTCCTTAGTTTAGCGATTAAATTGCATTTAAAAACGCAATGATTCATAAAAAAATATCTTAAAGAATTCTTTCTTAATTAGCATAAATTTATAATAACATAAATTAAGAAATTCAAGAGAATTTATTCATTTATTTTGCAAGAATAGATAATCTATTCTATATTCTCTTGTAAGAGTGATGTAGAGAGAAATGAAAGGAGTACATTTATTATTAATTTGTTTATATGTAAAACATAAGCAAAATGAATAAAAATAATAATTAAAAAGAAAAAAAAATTAACTTTTTTTCCCCTTATTGGAAAAGCCATTTTATAGATATTCCAGGAATTGTTGAATATGACACTAGACTATTCCTAAAAATCAATTGAGATTACAAAGTAAATATCACTAAGATGTTTATTTTGTTATATTTTCAAAGATAAATCGATATTAATTAACCTAAAAAGTGTTAAAAGTATTTTTTGACATATCTCACGTGTTGAACACGCTATGATCGATTTGGCGGCAATGGTGTAATCTCTATAAAACTGGCTCACGTTCGACTTTTAATTTACAATTTACACGTAAAAAAAAATAAATGTTCGTTAAAATATATCATCTACACTCAATCCATTCACGAAGATTAACAATAACCACGAATATATTAAATTATTCGACAAAGATATTATAAAAACCGAAGCGATTAATTACATTATCTATTGTAATAATACAATAATTGATGTAAATAACTTGTACAATTAGCATAATGTTGTTTTTATAAAGTTTAAAATAGTTTTTAGGTAAGTGCAAGGAGCTTACCTTTATCTGTTATTGCTTCTCTCGTGACAGGTAGAGCAGGTAACACGGTCAGCTGCTTTGTTCTTCAATCGACTCTAGTGTCGCTGACACTACTCAACCCTCACGCTGCTTTGCATGGCGATTCGTAGTAATAACCTACCTGTGTATTGTGAACATGCAGTTTGACCAGTTTCAAATAAACGGATTCAAATAGCTTGAACAGATATTTTACATACTAAATTCATCCTCACGTAACTTTAACTGTAACTTTCTGGTAATTTTCCTCGAATGTACGGTATTAAATGCAACATTACCTGTAACAACCTTGAGAAATCAAATGCTGGAAAAGAAAAAATTACATTTAAAAATTACTTAAGTAAACGTGTGTATATTTTAAGGTTGAATAAATAATTTTGTTTAACTTCTTCAACAATATTTTATATGTAAATATGTAATACATATGTGAATTATTTTGATCGAAATCAATTACTGTTAATAATGGGTAATATATTAAGTGCGATGACATTAATAGGTTTATTGTCGGATACAACAAGCAATATGTTACTCTAACCTTGTACAACCGGTACAAATATTATCATATTACGTAATGTTAATACAGAAGTAGGCATACAAAATTTTATTTTTTTATTTGATTGAAGTATACTTCTAAATACAGTAATATATTAATTATTTTACGATCACTTTACGATTTATAATTGCGTGAAATACGATATTTAAGTAACTCTTTTTGTATTATTAGCGAAGTTGCGGCCGAAGTTTTCATCTCTCAAACGTGAACGTCGAACGTCGAGCTCGACGTTCGACGTTCACGTTTGAGAGATAAAAACTTCGGCCGCAACCTCGCTATTAACTATGAAAGCCTGTACTGTGTTTAGTTAGTATTACATGGTATTGCATATTGCATTCTACAGCCTGATATAGGTATACTTTGATATATTTATTACTAATTTTAATGTTACCTTTAGAACTAGAAAAGTGACAAACACAAACGTTTTTTTATTCAATACAGCATTGATTTTCAGGCCAGCTCGAAATGAAAATCGTAATTACAGTCGACCCCCTATAACACCGTTGATTTTTCCGTTTTATATGAATTCCATGTTGTACGAGTCAGTTAGATTTTACAAATACGTGAGCCGTTCACAGCCCGGCACATATATTTATAAAATCTAAGTGACTTGTACAACATGGAATTCATATAAAACGGAAAAATCAAGTGTTATAGGGGGGGGGGGTCGACTTGTATTGATTCTGATCAATTACACTTTTATTCATCGTACTCTTTACTTCTTAACGTAACGAGTTCATTAATTACCTATTTGTTCATTAATCAGTTAAGGTTCATTTATACTATTAATTTCTAATATTAAATTTAATCGATATATAATAATTTTAATCATAGGTTCATTATTACAATAATCCTAATGAAGTGTCAAGACCTACTTAGCAAATATTCTGTAATTTTTAGATTGGACACGCCAATTACAGCACGTTATTTTAAATTACTTTCTTTAGACGTAAAGTATGCTTAACAGTGTGAAAAAACAGTGTCGTTTTTAGAAACAATTACAAATATTTTATATTTTTTCTTGAAAATTTATCGTGTAAAATCACTTATTTGTTTTTATTTACGTCTAAATTAATTCTAAAATACACTTTAAAGTAAATAAATGTATTAATCAAATTATAAAGAAGTGTTAAATAGTATAGAAATGACAATACAGTTAAACAGTAGACTTATTAACTATCGTGCTGCCATCTCTTGAGTAATAGTTGAATTATTGGTTAATTCATATTTTTATTTTATTTATTTATTTATTAATGATAGAACTGTCAGGATTTATATATTGTGTTTATAATATTAAAAATGAATTTCGAATGCTATAAAAGTAGAAAATAAAAATATTTCGTCAGTCGCATCTTCCTTTGTATTAAACACAGTATTAAAAGAAATGATATTAGTTGTAACAATTAAACTCCTACAAAGTTCTTTACTTTTTAACACTATGGCCTCATACTAAGAGGGAATAACGCTAAGAAAGTCTTAAATGTTTTGCCTCTATGAAATATATTGAATTGTAAATGTATTGTAAGAAATTACAATTAAACAAGGACATAATTACAGTTAAAAAATGGCTCTTTGATTTCAGGTTTAATGTATTATCAAGGTAGTTGCAATTAAACAAATTTTTTTCTTGGATTTTAATTGTGTAATTATTACAGATAAATCCGATATTGATATTATTTCATGGCAATTTATTAATGTAATAATTATAGCATACATTTACACATAAATTAATTTCAGATTTTATTACTTCTTGAAGCGATGAAGAGAAAAATTTAACAAAGATCCTGTCATTGTCATTTAATGGAGTGTTACAATATAAAATTTAATCATCTAAATCATTTATTTTACTACAGATTTACTTATTACTTTTCTATTATTTATATACAGTACTTACAAGTCGACCCCCTATAACACTGTTGATTTTTCCGTTTTATATGAATTCCATGTTGTACGAGTCGCTTAGATTTTACAAATACGTGAGCCGTTCACAGCCCCGCNTAAATAGTAGACCTGCAGTTGGGAATTACTAAATTTGAAATTCAATTTTGACCAACAATTGGGAAAAGGTTTGCCAACACTGTCCTAAATTTTAAAAAATGCATTCATGATATATAACTATGACATAGTAAATGTTTGAAATTTGTACAATTTATATTATACATTTCTTTAACTTTTATACAAATTAGTGAAATTTATGAACATTTCTTTTTAAAATTCAATAAAGACAGCCCACTAAACAAAACATTAATTATAAATACAATGCAAAGCATAACCTTATGCTTTGCAGTTATTTCAGACTGAAAATGTTTGTGTTACATTCCAAAATAACTGCAAATCATCATAAAATTGGTGCATTATATTTATTTTTAGAATTATTTAATCGAGAGGGCAAGTACAATTAGGATAATAATAATCAAAATCCGAAAACACTTCCGTCGATTCATTTTCGTGAGTTGCTTTATTCAAGTAACATGTCATATCTTTTCGATTATAATCTACAGATTTACAATTGGAATTATTTAAACATAAACGTATGCAATCTTCCGAACTCGTATTTGTTTTTTCTTGTAGATTCTTACCAGCAATTGCAGTCTGTGCTTTGCGAATGAAGTTTACTGAAAATTAATAAAAAGTATCATTAAATAAAGATCAGAGATTTTATAGTACGGTTTATAGAATTGCTTAATAATATAACTGTTATAAATCATATAGGCCTGCTAGTCACAACACGGTACATTGTTTACATTAGTGTATTGGCTCTTAAACGATTGTAAAACTTGAGTATTGAGAAAATCACAATGGAAAGTGTGGAGGTTTTTGATATGTGGACATATAAAAGAATATGTTAAATACAAAGAATTACAAATGAAGAGCATTGGAGAATAATAGAAGAAAAAGCAATACCAGTCGTAAAGATATAGTAAATTGTCTTCTTTATACATATTAAAGACACCGAATTTGCCATATATTATAAATATACATATAAGTTAATCTTCTTTTTAAAAAGATGTTATAAAAAAAACTCATTAAACTTACAATTTTCGCAATTTTTTCCACAAGAACCACATCGACATTCGCAACGATATGCCGAAGAAGAAGTATTAGGTGTTATATTTTTACATACTCCACCATTCAAACAACGAGGATTATTGCAAGTAATCTATAGAATAATTAGTAAGTTTATAATATATATATATATATAGGCCTATATATAATTTATTTTAATATAACTTACTAATCTTTCGTATCTTTCTAGAATTATTCCATTTTCTATAATTTCTTGATCAATTTGTAATCGACACTCTTCATTATCCTTCATCAATTGCCAAGCACGACACGATTCTTCTTTTCTCAAACATCGAAGAAGACATTGAAAAAAATTAAAAGATTTTAAAATTCCTTTATTATTTCCATTAGAATAAGCTGAATAAGTTTTTAAAAACGTTCCACTTTGAACTTTAAATTTACACTCGATAAAAGATGATCCGAGGACCACGTAAAGTACAAAGAAAATTCTTTTCATTGGGTCTAGTACTTTAAAATACTAAAAAAAAATATTAATAAAACATTTATTTATTCTTAAATATAATATACAATTAAACTGTTATATTAAACATACAGAAATTACTTACCAAAGTATTATTTTTTAATCAGAAATTTTGTTAAATTTGATTTAAAATAAGAGTAAATCATTCATCATATTAGTCACATTTATATACTTCTAATGGTTGATGTATTATTAGTTTTGATTGGTTGCTTCATGTAGAATATATATATATATATTTTTTTATTAAGCAAATTAATCAACTAATGTATTCAAATGTATAAACGAAGATTGATGAGACGGATTAAATTCCTATTAAATATTCACGAAGAATGTCCTGTTTGCTTGAACAAATGAATAATGTGATTTTATATATGAATATAATTATCGTTTATTTGACTTTTTAAACTACTTTTCAAGCTTAAAATATATTTTAATACAAATAAATAAGATTTATAATTATAAAAAAAATGTCAATTTTTAATGAATATCTTTGCAGATTGAATTAAAAATTAAGTTAATGATAGAGTAGATAGATTTTGATTAAACATTTTCGTGTGTATAATAACGCTCTGTTGAGTTTTGAACATTAGAAAATTATATTATTCAAATATATCTCGATAAATTTAATTAATTCAACATTTTACCGTATAATTTTCTACGTCAAATTATCATATTCTTTTGGTGAATTCAATAATTGTTGGATAAATTTTTTTTAAATTGTTATTTAGTTTTAATTTATAATAAAATTTTATAAATTATTTATTTATTGTAAAGAATATTGAATTAATTTTTAATAAAGATAGAACGTAGAAACTCTTTTATTCAAAAACTAAAAGACTCCTCTAAGTAATGACATAGTCAATAGAGAGGTTGCGGCCGAAGTTTTCATCTCTCAAACGTGAACGTCGAACGTGGAGCGCCGCTTACAAGATAGTGGCACTCGACGTTCGACGTTCACGTTTTAAACCTCGCAACCTCGCTAATATATAGGGGAGATCGGGGCAAGATCGGCATGTTAAGCTTTACTTAAATTTTGTGTAATAAATACTGCTGTAAACTGAAAAAAAAACCTTTTGCACATTGTCTATTGGAATGTTACCTTACTATAGAACTGGTTAAAATCAGTTTGGACATAAAAATAATTAAAATAATTACAACTTTACAAGAAGAGAGAAATTGACGAAGTTGCCCCGGGTATAGGGGCAAGATCGGCAACTTCTCTTTTTTTGTAAAGTTGTAATTATTTTAATTATTTTTATTAAAGTTGCCCCTGGTATAGGGGCAACAGTAATGGGGCAAGATAGGCACGTATATAAAATTATGTTATTAACAATGTATAAGTTGGAATTCACTATTAAAACAAAGAAATACAAATCCAACACCCATTTAATATTATTACAACGAAATGCAAGTTCAAAGACATATATACATGAATAACAAATGCAAACATGTTTTCATTTATCATCTGTTTGATTTTTATCCTTTGCTTCTAATGTGGCTTTATGTTGCCGATCTTACCCCGCTAGTCATGATTTCGAAACATTAAGTACAACCCTGAGAACAGAATGCCAAGCCACGATCTGGCCACGTGAATAAGTTGAAGTTACATCCTTCTAACAGGAAAAGTAACTTTCGTTATCATGGAATTATAACAAAACCTGCCAATTCAATATAAATGGAAAAAAATATTATATGGAATTCAACGAAAATGAAAATTTGCTTGATAATTCAACTACGCTTGTTGGAGAACAATAAAAACACTACTCTCAACAAGCCACCAATGAAACTCAACTGCCTAACCTATAATCAAAGTTTTTTTTAATTTGTTTTTTAAAAAAAGCGCTTGACAAACTTGCCCCGCATGCCGAAGTTGCCCCGATCTCCCCTATAAATATGTATTCGATAACTTTTACTTTCGGGCTATCATATATAAAATAGAAGTAAAGTGTAGCGATGGTCAAAAAATAATCCTTCTCAAATTTTTGAACATTTAATTAAGAACAGAAGACATCTTGAAATATCGAGATATGCAAAAGATTTGGGGTTTTCTTTTCCTTGTATGTATGTTAGAATATGTGTGTGTGTATGGGGCACGATTTTGTTCACCCTGTTTGAAATCCTATTACTTCTATTGAGTAAAATATTCATTAATTCCGGCCACACTGGAGATATGACACATGACCCCTTCTATGTCTCCACCACGTCGACCTTTAATTAATTTGGTAAGATGCCAAGTCGAAGACTTTACTCCTATCGTACAATGCTGTGATTGTTGTAAAATGATCCATTTTGCCAAATATTTGTAAAGAGGAGAGAAAGAAGAAAAGAGGTACACGGACCTTTCCTTTTTACAATATTTGGCAAAATGATCTATTATCTTTAATGCCAAGTGGCTGTTAATGCTATTGATAATTTCCTCGTGCGGTCGTGTTTAGAAGTGATCCTTGTACAGTATCCGACAGACGCAAACAGGTGAACTTTGCATTTGCATTAAATTTTGAGAACGAACATAATTCTGTAAGCCTCATAGAAGAAGCTTCGTAAACGCTCCACTTCAAATATAAATAAATAAAAATTTTATTTAACGATATAAGAGTTAAATCTACAGAAAATTCAGTTTTCTACACAGGTAATTACGTCACTATAAGCTTTAAAATAACGTTTATATTATTAATCAAAATAAATAACTAAACTTGTACGTGGCGCCATCTGTTATGAGATTTTGTTATAAAAACTTTATATATTTTTAATTATTATAAAATAGCAAAATAATTAATTTTCAGGGTAGAGATGAGTTTTATAAAATACTGTAAATGCTAAGGAAAATTTTTATTAAAGCTGCTGGATTTTTTGCATCTAAATGAATCTTTATCTTTCCACCTCTTTAATATTAAGGAGATATGATGCTATTAAATAATAATAAGGAACGTTGATGCTATTAAATGCTTGTGTATAAGGATACTATTCCAATGCTTTCCCTCGTTATTACTAATATAAAAGCCATTGTCTGTGTTTGTGAATTCCTTATAACTCCTGCAATTTTTGTTCAATCCAGATGAAATTTTTGTTATAATTGTTTTATGTTCTGGTGTAAGGTATAGTAACATTGAATAAGAATGGCTTTGTCAAGGAGTGCAGAAACAGCATCACAACATCAATCATCGAAACAATATTAAAGTGTCTATTACTAAAGGAACACAGCGAGGAAATCTTTTAAAACAGAATAGAGTGTTAATTTAGAATGTAGTATATAAAGAAAGATTTTAATAATATTTTAATATAAAGGTCTAAATCTGTGTGTAATTTTCTATAACTCCCACTATTTAGTGTCATTTTGACTCGCACCATCTCAGTTAAGGGTAAAAACTCTTTCTTTCCTTTGCACACTTTTACACAACCGTTAGAATTTTCTAGTTCGTTGTCTTTACACAAAATAAATGTTACGCCTCTTGACTAAAAAGAAAATGGCGGACGTGTATTCAATTTTATTCCAATATGGCGTCGTACAGCCACTCTATGTAGTATATTCCAGTTCGTTGTTGGTATTAGTTGTTTCCCATTATTGTTATTGTTTATTAATTTATTAAAATAACCATAATTAAATTAACGTTAAATAACTTTACTATTTTAAAGCTTTTTTAAATAAACTTTTTTTTATTAATTTTAAATTGTTATAATAAAACTAAAAGGAGCAATTGTCAAGACACAATGTCTGTTTTTAGAAATAATTTAAAAAAAAAAAAAGTATTTTTCTCAATTTTACTCACGTTCAAATGATGTGTCAAATATACATATTTATACACCTTATTAACGCATATAGGGATGAATATTCATAATTATATATAATAAATTGTAGATATAAGCGACTGGAAAGGTTCATTTTCAATGCAAAGAAACTTTATTACTAAAAAATCGATAATAAATATGAGTATGAATAATTCTATTTGATGTATTGTTTAAGAAAACATACAGTTTGAGACGGGGTTAACCGTATAAATAATAATTGTATAAATTACTGAATTGTTTATATACTCGCATTTTCCACGTTTAATAAGTTGCATTAATAACAATCGGTGCCTTCTGTAAGCTGAACGTGTCATTGTTAATAAGTTATTAACACATTTATGAATCATACAAGTCCGAAAGTATGTCCCCATTCAATTAAATAGTATATGCAATTGGTGTAACGTTCATTCACCGCAATAGATAATTTGACAAGTAAATCGTTGCCCGAATGTAAGTTCCTTTCTATATCATTGTTCTATATCCTGTTCGATCTTGTTTTTATATGGCCGCTTACTACTAAAAGTCGTTTTAATAAAGCACAAACAAAACAAAACCATAGAAGATAAAACAAAGATGCCAAGATAATATCGATAAAAATTCTTATCTAGAATTTCACATGCCGTATAAACGTTGTACGAATTAACAATGGAGAAAATAATAATAATAAAAAAATGAATAAAATAAATAAATAAACTAGCTTCTCCGATAACCTATAATTCTAAAACATATAATAAAAAAAAAAGTCTTCATTAAGATAATTCAGTTATCGTTCTCTATAATCGTTAAGCTATTATTAGTAATCCATTAAGGCTTTTGTTTAACTGAAATATATAGTTTTAGAACGATGGAGACATTTTAAAAATTGTAGAAAAATAAAGTTAAATAATATACCAGTCGACCCCCCTATAACACTGTTGATTTTTCCGTTTTATATGAATTCCATGTTGTACGAGTCACTTAGATTTTACAAATACGTGAGCCGTTCACAGCTTGGCACACGTATTTGTAAAATCTAAGTGACTCGTACAACATGGAATTCATATAAAACGGAAAAATCAACAGTGTTATAGAGGGATCTACTGTATTTCTTAATTAAACTGAAGCTTTCCTTTCTAAATACTACTCTTAATGTTATTAAAACTGTCTTCTAAAATATCAATTAAAACTACATTCCAATTATTTTTGCTTTTTTCTATTAACTAAAACTACAACTTACTCAAAGCTATCTTCAATTATTACCTAAAGTTGTGTTCAAAGTATTACTATTTTTGAAACATTAATCAAAGCTACTTTCTACTTTTTCTAAAGTTACTTTCAACTATCCAAAACTGCTTAAGGCTATTTTACAACTATTATCTAAATCTACTCTTCAGTTACTATTCAAAGCTACATCCAATTAATACCTAAAGTTACTACCAATTT